GGGGGGGGGGGGGGGGGGGGGAGCTTAAGACATATTTTCCAGTGTGAAGCAACACAGAGGAGGATGCATGGAGCCATTGCTGCAGAGGAGAACAGCGCCACCTTGTTATTAGGAAACAACTTTAGGAACAATGCATGTTAGCCTTGTATACTCAGTTCTTCCAGTTCACAATGCCAGGTCAACGAGGGAACACTCCTTACATCAGAATTGTTATATAGTGGACACATCCATGCATGCATTTATATCATGTTACCTAGTCCAGTATCTGTGTGAATGACTTTGATGAGTACTGGGAGGCAAGGGGCTAGCAATAATGTTTGCTGTGAGTTGTTTTGAATTAAATATTGTTGGAGGTTGGTTTGTTAGCTGTCGTATTTGATTGGCAACATCAAGCAAGTGTATAAATAATAATAATAATAAAGTTATCATTAGGAATACATATTCACCTACCTGGACACAGAGACAAGATGTTACAAAGAGGAGTGAGATGGGGGGAAGAGATGGAGATTACACAAATACAAATATAATTGTCTGATTATTAATAGACGATAAACAGATATAGAGAAAGATCAGTGGATAGATAGACAGGTAGATATAACAATAATAGACAGATAATTGGGAGATGATATATAGATAAAGATAAGTAAATAGGTAGATACATAAGCAAAGATGAAAAAAGAGGGAGAAAGGGGTAAAGAAAGTATAGATAAATAATTAGATAGATAGACTGATATAGACAGACAGACAGATAGATAGATAGATAGATAGATAGATAGATAGATAGAGAGATAGATAGATAGATAGATAGATAGACTGATAGAAGGTAAACTGAATCCAGCTGCCCTTTTTGGCACTATACCCGGTTCATTTCCACCCCAAGACTGTCTCTTGTATGCTGGACGTGAATTATCAGTCATTCTGTGATCTAATTAGCTAGAAACATTACCATTTTATGCTGTCTGGCATATACTGTATCTCTCAGACCGATATTAATGATGGAGGTTAGAGGAAATGGCCTTTTTAACTTAAATGTAGTCTATTACTTTGTGCCTACCTTTAATGTCTGCTTCTTGAGATGTATATTTCATACTTTACTTCATGGGCTATTAGGTTTTGAAATACATGAATGTTATCAGTGAAATATGTTGTTCAACTCTATTTAGCAGGAAGCGAAGATTGTGCTACAAATGGCTTGCTTCAGTGGCCGTAGTATACTGTTGTTCGTGTTTAATATATTTTTTCCCTTCCTTGTATTTTTGTTTTAGTGATGTTCTTTTCAGTAGGTAAAATGGCTGTTTTATGTTGTGGTTTATGAAAATTAAGAAGGAATTTTAATGGCGGGGTCTTTCTTTCTTTCTTTCTTTCTTTCTTTCTTTCTTTCTTTCTTTCTTTCTTTCTTCTATCTATCTATCTATCTATCTATCTATCTATCTATCTATCTATCTATCTATCTATCTATCTATCCATCTACCTTTCTATATTTTATATAGTTGTGAGCTCTGTCTAATCTCCGTATTATCTATTTATTTATTCTTGATGTTATCCTATTTCTTACGGGATATAGAATGGCAGCTGATCTGTGACTTGATTCTATGATAGCATTATACATATGTGTGGTGTGTCCGGATAGGCTTACTTGGTGTATGAGGAATCGTATATGTTATAAAATATGGAGCTTGGGTTGGATATCTGTGTAGTTGTGTGCTCACATTTGATATGTATTTTAAAGACACAACCGCCCATATTATAAATTCGTCTCATAATTTAGAAAGAAAGAGGAGCATATATAGGTTTCTTTTATTAAACATAAAGGAAGTATTAAAAATATAATCTACCTATCTAGAAAAAAAAATCCATCTGCATCAGAGTTTCACCAACTGTACTGATGTGTAGCTTACTACAGGCTAGGCCGCCTTGTGTCTATTTGTACATTAGGAGTAACTTGCTTGTATGTTGGATTATTATGTAAAAAGGGCGTTAGGGGTCTATGACCGGACTAACAGGACTCATATTTAGATCTCTATAACCACACTCATTAGACTTATCACCTATTAGTGGCATCTCACCTCCTCCACTTCCCTAAGTGAAGACTGCACTCAGTAGGATCTCAAAGCTGGGCTATGCTGCGCATGCGCCTGTGAAGACATCTGCTACCATAACTCCACGTGTTTATGAATATGTATGATCATCTCCATCATTTTCAGAGTCTGTCTCTACCAAGCTCTACCCAAGAAACATTGGAACATGGCCATCCCAAGGCGCAATTTGGTGCTGTGGACGGATTTCAGCTAAGATGACAATAGCAGGAGATCTGTCTGACACTCCATGCCATTGCAACATAATAACCTGATAGCCCCAATGACTTTTGCCTTCCAGTACAAATCCACTCCATAGACCTGTGCGGATTTACCAAATAGGTGATTTAACTTCTGACACATACACACACACACACACACACACACTATATATAGATACATAATATATTAAAATAAATCGTTAAGACTTCTATATATGATACCTTGCTTTATTTCGAGAAATCTAGGAATATGTGACTGATAATGTATACACGTGTAATGGAGACAACCTTTCTATTTCCAATCTATGCAACCAATGTAGGATTAGAAGAGGAAACATATACATGTAGCTATTGACACATGACCACCCTAACAAGCATTATACAATGGCCTTACTATGGAAGAACAGAGTGTAACAATTCATTCACTTATGGCTCATATAAAATAATAATAATAATAATAATAATAATAATAGTAACAACAACAACAAACATAACAACAACAAAAATAATAATAATAACAATAATAGTAATAATAATATT